GCCCATGTCCAGCCCCTCCTCCGGCCAGGAGCCACCCAGAGCAGTCCCTGTTCCACACCAGGTGCTCCTGCTGCCTGAGCAGCACTGCAGGCCCTGCCCCACTTGGAGACACCCACAAAAGTCTCGCTTCCAAAAAAAACCCCACAAAACTATTGAGACACAGAACTGCTTCAGTAATAAGGAATTACTAAAACTGAAGGATGTGTTTCCCACATCTTACAACTTTGAAGGAAAATTACTTTTTGCAACCTCTGAAAAAAACCCAACCCTGTGTAAATAGCAGTAAATTATGTAACCATACCAAATGACAGTGTACAGTGAGTTTCAAAGTGCAAGACTGGTGTGTTGATGGTGATAGTGAGGGAACTCTCTTGGTCAGGATCTTGCTGTTGGTGGCATTACTAATACTGTGCTTTTAAATGTTTTAATCMTTTATATAGTATTTTAAAGTGTGATGGAAGGTTAAGTTGTTGAACTAATGCTTATTAAACAATTCTTATATTTAAAAGGTTCACTTTTTTTTTCTGAGAACAGATTTCTTTAATCTATAAATCCATGAGAATAGTAGCCAAGTCCTTACATTGTGCTGTTTGCAGTTTGAGAAGGACTCRTAAAAAACAAAAACCAAATTAAAGTCAACATTCCCTGTATTTGAATCGTAGATGAGTTACTGTCAGGATGTGGTTTGTGTACATTTATATGTCAGATGGTTCACTTTTACTCAATATTTTCTTTCAGGGTTTCCTCTTGTACGTTTCTAGTTGTGGCTAAGAGTCTGCAWAAAGAATACATCCAGAGTATCCAATTGTATAATTCTTGGATRTCTTCAGCACCAAACTAAATCAACAGTTTTGATGAAACAGAAAACTAGAAAAGACCTTTAAAATTGACAGACAAGTTAGTAAAACKGCAACCTCAGTAGTGTGGTTGTGTTTCTAATCTGGCATTTTTGTCCTTGACCCAAATTTTACGAGTGAACTTGTATAAAAATATAACGAGGACTCCAGGTTAGGCTTCAGATTCTCCTGCAAGCAGTGGTGAGTCCAGGGTGTACAGCAGGATGTGGGATGAATGGAATCATTACTGATAGAAAGGTGCCTGTTGCCCTTCTGTCTCTGGTTGTGTGCTATATTGGCAATATTTGGTCTTGAATTTAGATCTTACTAAATAGTCTTGTGAAATGTAACTTTCATTATTTTCTYCTCTTCTGGAGGAGTAACTGACCTATTGCTGTGGTGTGTCTGCACTTTCACAATGCAAAAAGAGTCAGTTATCTACAGTTTGTMCTTTTTCTTACAATAAATTACACCYTCATTCCCCAAGCACTCSKGAATCATAGTMAATTAAAATGATTTTGAGCTTGAGAAGCATTTGTACTTAAATTGTATAATTTGAATCCAGAGATTTTGCAAGTGGYGTGGTTCTGTTGTAAATRCCTAGTAAAAAGGGTGTGCAGTGCTGCACTGGCAGTATGTTTACAGTAGTTGATGAGTTTAAGTTACTTTGGGTTTCGTTACACAGGTTATGTGTTGTGTCTGAAGGCTGCTAAGAGAATGGAATTTTGGTCATGTTAGTCTGTACTGACAGAATAAATGGTATCAGATATGATGATGTGAAGTTCAGTTTCATTGTCCCCAATTTACAGAAGTATGGGGGGGATTGTTGTAGCTATTAGAATTGAAGAAAAGCTCAAACATCTACATAGGATTATTTTTTTTCCTCTAAACCCATTCACAGTCACAGAAGTTGTAAAACTTCTTCGTTAGCGCTGCTTGTAAATGAGAAATACTTAGGAGAAAACCACAGTTGGAAGTTCATTTAATGCTCTAACTCCATCAAACAGGTTGAAGCTGCTCTTACAATGTGCTGGCACACATAATAGAGACCAAAATGTGGATACCCCATGGAACAAGAATGRTGAAGTATTTTTAACACCAGATCTATCCTTAGGTTCCCTGTATTTACACTCTCATCCCAATTCAAGCATGGAAAGCTACCRAGTCTTTAGTTTTAAGCTATGTAGTAGAAGCATTTTATTCTAGTGGTGTTGGGTTACGGGATCATTCAGCCAGGTCAGTTCCATGCAATCAGCAATGGTCTTTTTTGTTTTCTAGGACTTCGTTTAAAAAACAAACCCAAAACCCAACAGCAAAACCAGAAAACCATTTGTAATGTCAGCGTTCCTTTAAGGAGAACACACAGGACATCCCCACACAGAGCCCCTGATATGTGATTTAAATGTTTGATTTTAAAAGAACAAACCAAAAACCTTTCCAACACTGGCTTTTAGGWGCTGCATTTGATCTCCATGAGTAGTTGCTGCTCATCACAGCTATGGTTGAAATCCCATTAAGAGTTCACCTGTCTGTCTTACCCCATAAAACTGTAGAAAATAAACTTCCACAAAYGTTACCTGTAACAGCAGCAAAACACTGTGATTTGAACAAGAAATTTTTAATGAAATTGTTCAGCATGTTTTACYACGTCTGTTTTATCAATAGGTCAGTTGTATAAATTCTTTACTAAGTACAAATGAATATARTTCTCCTTTTCCAAAGGAGCAATCCCAGAATCCTATTTGAGCTTTCTGCTGAAAAAAGGCCTCTTGAAATCCATCACAGATTTGTAGTGTAATTTTAAAATATTTGAARTTTCTCAAGTGTCATTTAATTTTTTAATATTAATAAGTGTAGAAAAATATTTAAATGTAGTCTTGCAGGATAAAGACAATACATTCTAGACTGTAAATCTTGTTTGTAAAAACTACTTCAGTTTTTTTTTTTGTATAGAAACAAATCTCAGTTGTGAAACCCAAAGATGAATAAAGCTGTATAAAGGGAAGGTTCTTAAATTGCGTTTATTAAAACTTAAGCATATTTCAACACTTATAACACAAGGCTTCAAAAGACAGGTGCTGTGTCAGGTTCCCATGAGGGTTTGCAGCCCCAAAACTGCACTTGGGTCAGATGGACATCCTGGGCTGCTGCCTGGGGTGGGACTGAAGGACAGGGCAGGAAGTGGAGTGACTGAGTGTTGGCTGTGCACCTCGTGGGGCTCAGCTGCATTTGAGATTCTGGGGTTTGTGTGTGCTGAAGAGCCAGGAGACAAACTGGAAGTAATGCACTCTGACTCAGCTGGAGAGGGAAATAACCGATAACAGGAGCAATGACAGAACACCTGAGAAGGTAAAACGTTACTTGTATTTGTTGGTAAAAGTGGTTTTTACCAGGTAACCTGAACTTTGATTACAAACCCATTTGTGACTTTTAACACTTGAGCCTGTTCCTGCAAGCAGTCAAGTTGCAAAAAAAGAGTGATCAAAATATTACAGAACAAGAACAAACGGTTCTGAACATGGCTCCCAGYGAGGCAAACTCCTGGCACTGGAGCCCAGGACTTGATGAGGCTCTTCTGTAAATGAATATCCAGGTAGGGGTTGATGACTCCCATTAATCAGATACATCTTTGTGCCTGCTGTTTTTTTCCAGTCAGCACAATAGGATGAACATTATCTTGGCTGCAATTCCAGCCCACATACACAGGCCAGGAATAGAACTGGAATGTTACCTGTGCTGCATTAGTTGATCCTTATTAAAATTGTCAGGAAGGAGGCATGGAAGGTAAGGGTTTGAAGGAGGTGGCCCTGCATCTGAGCTGTGGCACTCTTTTTCCTTAGAGTACACAAAGGCTTCTAAGCTTCATGGTTGAATTTTATTAAAAAAACACTGTGCAGTCATTTCCAAATACAGAGAATTAAGACATTTTAGAAAATTTAGACACAACTTGTACTATTTGCACAAAGTCCTCTGAGACATATGAAGGGATTGCCAAAGGCAGTGAAAGCAACTCATCCTTTCTGCTTGCTTACAGTCTCCTTCCTTCAAGGAAGCTTCAAGCTGTGCCTGTTCTCCTCTGGAACTTCCTAAGGCAGCATCTCTTTTCCTTGTTCCTTGAGAAGTCTTGCCATAGCTGAGRCAGTGTATAGCCAGCCAGAACTTTTCCTTTCTGCTACGCAGCTGCACGCTTCCACATGAAAAGATGGATGAATGTCCTGAAGGAATGTGAATGGGGAAAAGGCAGAAGGGGAAGCTGTTTCACAAACACAGGGTTCCTTGGCCAAAAGACAGACCTGAGCAATGCAACTCCACAGAAACACGTGCAGTTCTTGTCTGGGCCAGTTGGGGAGGCAGCAGGAGTAAAAACCTGAAAGCTCGATCAGTGTGTGATGCAAGTGAGCATCACTCACTGACAGGAGCAGGCACCCAAGAACAGAGGCCTTTGGAAAGTGTTACTTCACCTGGCTTGCTTTCATATGGAATAGAGTGATGGAAAAATACAGCCATAAGAAGAGTGGGTGTTGTGGCAGTGGTCTGAAAATAACAGAAAAAAGGTAACAAAAATAGGGGAAAGATGGGAAGAAAAACCATGTGAAGCTGTAACTAAACAACAAAAATCACTTGAGAAGAGCAGTAACATCTGAAGGGATGGAAACATCAGAAGGTGCCATTCAGGATCAYGGCTGAGCTGAGAGCCAGCAGAAGGGACAGAGGACATGAGAGGCAGCAATCCAGAYGCCCATGTAGAATGCTGATCCAGCAAAACACAGAGCAGGGCAGGGCATCAGGAAGAACACAAAGAGAGACCTTGCCCTGAGGTAACACAGCTTCAGCAATGGGCAAACAGAACAGGGGATGKGGGATGTGGGTTGAAAGAGGCTAAWGAGGCTTTTGCTATGAAGGGAAGGGACTGGAAAGCAGGAAAAGAGTGGAAATGAACTATTAAAAATATTTTTAAGAGTGTTGTGAAGCCAGATATTCTTCTCTAGTACAAAGGCAGTAAAACTTTAATTCTTACAGTAAGATGTTAAAATCGAGTACCTTTATGGTATTACTTTCTTTAAAATCTTAATAACAAGTGGTTTTAAAATAGGACAGCTGCTTGGTGGTGAAGAATGGCTATCCTTAATTGGCAGAAGAGAGACCAGAGACCAGTTCTATGAGACCCAGAACCAGCAGCAGGCAATTAACTGGTTGAATTCGAGTCGCTTTGTGTCTGGAAACAGAGTGGGTACACAACTGCAGTAAATGCTGTTTGCAGATTAGCATGCTATTAAAATTAGCCATCATGGGGATTGCTACATCCCACTCCACTGTGCAGCCCCCCCGCCTGCCCACAGCTTCACTCTCCTTCAGAACTTTCAGGACACTGATTGCACAAGGAAAAGCTGAATATCCAAGTGTGGAAAGATCTTCTTTCACAATGCAGACAAGGCTAAATGCAGTCATATCATTGTTCATATACTTCACCATTCATTTCTCTCAACTAGGAAGAGTTGCATTTTGCTGGTACTCCTGCCTGAAGCAAAGTAGTTCTGATACATTTTTTGAGCAGGATGCTTTACTGTGCAAAAGGGTTATTTTATTCCTTTTACACCTTCCAGCTGTACTGTATAGTAGCAAAAGGATGGAGGGAGATGAGGAGCAAACACTACCCTTAAAATCCTCATGCTTCCAGCGCTGTGTGATGCCACTCCRGATGATTGTCCAGGCAGTGATATCCGGCTGACCATCAGTCTCATCAGCAGCTGATTGGACCAGGTTATTCCAAGTGCTGGAGTGACTTTGTTACCCACTATCCTATAAAGAAAGTATTAGACATTTCTGCATGCATGGATTTCATATGGAGTATTTWCACTTCTGCTGTAACAAAATTGCACTGGAAGACATCTTTTACCACATCTCTAGGAAACTTTGCTATAGCAAAAACTATAAGTCTATGAAGACAGAGGTGACAGGGTTTACTCACAAAACTTAGATTCTCTCTGTAGCAAGGAAACAGCTGGAGAAGTGCTGCTATACAGAACTGTCAATTCTCTCAGCTACAGCCATGGAGAATACCTGCCTCTGTSTGGACAGGCCCCTCTTGCAACAGGAAAACCACAGGAGAAAGATGGTTGAACTTTTAATATTTGAAGATTTGAAGTCTGTAATTGATGGCCTTGGATTCCATTTGCARGTATATTTAGAAATGTTGAGTAAACAAAACACTGCATATGTATGACTTTTAACCCAAGGTTTAAAACAATCTTTTTCCCTGGAAAAAAAGAGCAATTTCTCCAGTAAAAAAAATGCAGGATAACCAGGAAAAAGAATATTTTAATCTTATCCTTGTTCTGTGTCAGTTTCAGACTCAGAAGGACACTTGTGAACTTCTCACAAGCACCCATTTATCTAAGACCCGTCTTAYATACTAAATCAGGGTTATAGTTAGGATTCAAACAACAAATACATACATTTGAATCCTGTTAACATCTTGGTGTCAAAAGTTATTATTTTGGTTTAGCCACTGACAAAGCCATCTGCTAAGGTTTGGTTGCTATATTTTTTAAGCAGACAGAAGGTGTACTCAGTTATATCAGAGACAAGATGCAAAAATATTCTTGTGTAAGCCAGTACACCAGCCATCAACTCCAGGGATTTTTTTCCCTGCTAGTTTGTGATTAGGGATTGCAATGTACAATATATGAGTTTCTTTTTCACAGCATGAGTTATTACTGATATCCAGCAAATTCAGCATTGCTGGGTAAATGCCCCACTGCTCCTCACATGACCTTGTAGCTTACACTGGATGTAGAGAGAACAGAGTGGCTCAGTGCTGCTGTGTTTGACATTGTCACACACTTTGTGGATGACTCACCTACAACTGCACTGAGCAGCTTCCGACTCACTCACTGCATCCGTTACCTGAAGCACAAAAACAAGGTTTGCAGCTGACCTAGGGTTATGTATTGAGCAAGCAGTAGGGCACAGAGGGGAACAAAGACAAGAAAATCCAAGTTATTACATCATATATTAAGCCAAGTTAGAAATCCCTTATTCTTTCAAGGCAAATTAAAAGGGAGTTGTGAGTTACAAGCTGAGTTGACAGTGTTAGAACTATTTAGCAAGCTGCAGCTTACATGAATTATGCTACTTCTAGATGCTTGTTAAGAAAAACCCACAAAACCCACATGTGCAGTTGCTATACATACCTATTTTTGTTAGCTTTAGTGGGCAACTTTTGAGAACATTAACAGTCTATAAACACTTAAATAATAGACTTTGAGTAGTTAACATGTACTAAAGTACATCAGTTTAAGGAAGCTTCAGTTTAAGGAAGCTTCAGTTTCCATCAGTCAATAGTCAGCTATAAAATGTGACTGTTTATTAAACAGTCCCTCTAGAATAAGAAGCAATTTGATATCATACCTGATTGATGCACATGATGGGTGTCCTGAACCTGGTGCTCAGGCTGTGAAGCTGTGCCCCAAAGGTCTGCAAATACCGAGCCTTCAGCRCAGACTCGGAAGGGCCGAACTCGCAGCGGAACAGGGCGGCGATGGAGTCGATGACCACGAGGCGCACCATGCCCCGAGCCAGCAGCAGGGACAGCCGCCTGGTGATGCACTGCTGGAAGGTGTCCTGCCACACAGACACACAGCCACGGTGACACAAGGCAGAGAACCCTGCTGGCACATCACGAGAGTGAACTGCAGCAATCGCCACTGCAACATGATCTCCAGGAATTTCTGATCGTGAAGGCAGCTCATGGATTTTTAAGTCTCACCAGTAACCACATCTGGTGKTTTTATTGAAGAGAAAACTGAAGAGACCAAATTTCAACCTACAATTACCTGCAGCTCTGACTTTACTGATACTTCAAAATCTCAAGGGTGTAATACTACAATCCTAAACTGCTCCTGTTTTTGCAGAGTAACAGAATGTTAAGGGTTGGACCTTAAAAGATCATCCAGTCCCAACCCCCTGCCATGGGCAGGGACACCTCACACTAGGCCAGGTTGCTCAGAGCCACATCCAGCCTGGCCCTAAACAATGCCAGGGATGGGGCAGCCACGATTTCTCTGAGCAACCTGTTTCATTATCTCACCACCCTGAATTTATAGAAATTCAGTAAAGAATTTCTTCCCAATATCTAACCTAAATTTCCACTCTTTCAATTTGTACTCTTGCCCTATCTCTACAGTTCCTGACAGAGAGTCCCTCTCCAGCTTCCCTGCAGCCTCTTCAGACACTGAAGGCTCCTATGAGGTCCCCACACAACTTCCTCTTCTCCAGGCTGAACAGCCCCAACTTTCTCAGCCTGCCTGAGGACGGAGTGGTTCTCACTGAAACACTCGGGACATAAGACTACCATTAAATATTCCAAACAAGTTACAGATTCTGCTGCTCTTCCACTAAGGAACCATTAACTATAAAATACTACCTCAAATCCATTATTCATCAAGTCTTAGAAACATWCTTACTTTGTGCCACCACTTACCAGATCTGCTGCACGCTCAACAAAAATACTGTTTCCAAATCTGATCTTCTGTATGATTTCAGCTGGAACATCTGCACGCAGCTTGTGCTGTTGMTCTATGAGCTGCTGCAAACGTTTGCTTGGGAACACATCTTCTGTACAAATGTAGACAGCTCCTGCAGCCAAGGAAACCACCTGTGGTTACAACAGGGCTCTTACACACACRCTTTTCTTAACAGCACAAATTGTATCAGACATTCTGCACTCAAAAGATACACATATGGACCTGGACATCCATGTTACCTTYTTTTTCTGCAACCATGTTGAATCAATGATGAACAAAAACCCCACTCCTGTGACTTCCTTGCAGTTGCTTGTTTCTTTTTTCAGTGCTGGGACACTGGATTTTGTACTCACACCTGGGTGACACTCACTATGCAGAGCTGTGGAACACCTGCCCACCTGCCCTTGGTGATCAAAAGTATCACAGTTTATTCAACCCACAAACACAATTACACTGCACAGATGGCCCGTTTCAGTCAGAAATCCAAAACACAGCACTAYGAAATATATTAACTATGCCAGCCAAAATCAGTGCTAGTATTTTTGATTCATATTGCTCAGTGCTTTCTAGCTTCTTGGTTTTAAATTTACATATGGAAGGGTATTGATCACCACAATTTCTAAGTCAGTTTTAGAGGATCATTTATCCAATCTCATTCCAACTAACTTCCTGAAAATGATAAAAACCATTATACTTCAATCACAGTTCTGTGAGTGATGTCTAGATTTTCACTATGGTTTCTTGATTAACAAGTGTRTGTTACTGCAGAGAAAATTACCCATACRMATCAAAGGTGTTGGGAAAAGGAAKCACAATTACAAGCATYATTTTMTTTATTAAGAGAGTGTTACTGTTGTTGAAGAGTATCTTTACTAAGGGCAGTCCTATCAAACATTCAATTTCATGATTGCTAAAAAGCCAGTAATCCAAGAAACATTTCTAAACATAAATTTGGCATGATGTGTACCTAGCACACTCACTGAAACAAGCCAATAATACAACAGTTACACCACAAAACTGAAAATCATAATGGTGCAAATTCAAACCCAAGTAAACAGAAAATAAAAACCCAAAGATATGCAGCTTCCTTAAGCTCATGTGGTTTCTGAATTTTGCACTAAAAATACCTGTGGTAACTTTTCTTGAGACAACGGCTCCTAAGGTAAAGCATTCTGACCTTYTCAGCTATTTTTATTGAAGCTGACTGCCTTTGCACAGTTTTGCCTAATTCTGAAAGACAGGGATTTCYGTACTGTGAATACTGGGTTCACAGAGAAATCATCTGCTTTCTAAAAACCAGACCTGCCTTAAGCAGGATGTCCCTTGTCCTCTCATTGGTTTACTTAAAAAGGATGGCATGTCTGTTACTTCAGATTTCCTAGTCACTGGGGCTCTTTCAGATGCAGATTTGCATTTCCAGATAGATGGATGCTCCACTGATTAAATAATTGTATTTTGATCCAGAGTTATTGCAACATTGAAACTTCAAAACAGAAGATCTGAGAAAATTGCTGAAAAAATATGTAATTTTCCTGGAGGAAAAGAAATGTAATTTTGTCCTAAAAATCTTCTTTGCTGGTAATTTCAGTACAGTATATAAAAACAGACAGGTACAAACACAAGGCAGAAACAAAAGAGTATAAAACAAGCAAGCTTATCTGTTACAAACGTAATTGCAGTCCAGTTTCACACTTACACCTGATGAACAAGTAAATTGAGGCAAAAAAAAAGGGAATCCTACAGTTGTAATATCTGCAGGTAAAAAAAAAAGAGCTGGAGAAGCAAAAATGTGGTCGTCTCTGTTCCACTAGTCCAGCAACCTCAGTTTAACTGATCTGTATAGATACACACTATCCTTGTGGTAAATTCATGCCAGCAATTTTAAAGTTCAAGTTAACAGTTATTTAGTAATTTTTTTTACTGAAAAACTTGTGGAAAAAGAAAATATACTTATTCTTTCATAAGAACAGTTCTGCTTTATGGACTATCTTCTGTCCATGAAGTTTAGTTTGTAAGGCTAGAAGAGTCTGACAAATAACTAAATAAAGTATAAAAGGCTGATGCCTAGTTACAAAACAAAAACACTTAATAGTCACAAATCTTTAATGGTGACTTGTCTTAACCTAAATAAAAAGAGGAGATCAGTACAACARAAAAGTCCATGGCATTGTGCTACTTACAGATTATTGGGAAGCTGCCAACACAAGTCAAGAGCCAGAGTAGGAATCACTTTTGACAAAGAAGCTGAGACATGCTCTTAAGAACTCAGTCAGGGATCACCAAAGAATCTTTCATCACAGATCAAACAAAACCCCAACAGAAATCAGCTATTTCATCAAATCTATTATTCAGGCCAATAAATGTGTTATGCTGGTTGACAAAAAAATAACACCAAAAAAAAAAAAAGAATAAAACCCACTGAAACCCCTCAACCTCAAAAAGGACAAATTTTGATTCCTATGATCATCATCTGTCATGCACCAAACCTGTTTGTTAAAAAGAATCAGTAGCAAGCTTTGTTTTCTAATTCAGAATTCTAATATGGATATTAATTTGTTCCATTATATTAATGTATTACTTATGAATATGGGCATATAAAATAAATTCAGCCAACACACAATTGAACACAACTGACATTCCTAGAACAGCAGAAAGATATCCTGRAGGCAAAGGAGGCCTTTGTTTACTTTGCTGCCAACCTCCCTGCACTGAGAATCATAAGCAAGACTAGCACTGAATTTAATGAAGCAAATGTTTAAAGAAATGTATTTCAACATCACCACTTATAAGAAGGGAAGTTTCCAAGCACCAAAAAAATACAATGTACAATAATTTTATACCAGTAGTAAAGTTTTAGCATTGAGATTAATCTTGCACTGGTAGCACCAAGTTCTGTGAGAGTTTCTAAGCTTTGCTGTTCTCATATTTCCTAAAGGATAAAAATCCTCATAGCTTATGTAAACTTTAATGTCTGTATTTCTCATCACACAAGAGTGTCATTTGGGTGCTGGGCACCTTCTTCTGTACCTCATTCTRGTTTGTTCCTTGATTTTAACATAAACAGGGAGAAGTGCTGGAGCAGGGATAAAAATGTATTTKCATTCAAACTACGTGCAGCAGTTAGCAGCAACACACAAAGGAACAGAACAAAATACAATTCTTCTGCTCTGATTAATGACATGTAATGTAAGCCACAGGCTCCTCACATCCCTTTAAGCAAGATMTTAATTTGTACAGTCCATGATTTTTCCACATGGGTGGATACAGTTCAGGGAATTACTAAGTTTCCCCACAAGGAGCCACTGAGCTGCCAGATAAAGCCAGGGCTGTATGGAAGGAACAGCAAGGTCACAGGCAAAACACACCTAAGGCAGATTACCAGAACTCTCAGAAATGACATAGGTTTCTTCCCTTTCTACAGGAGCATAGAAYAGCAAAAAATAAATAAATTAGGAGTTAGATTAATGTGATACAAGAGTAAAAAAAAATACTCAAAGACCAAACCTGTAGACTTTAGCAAAACCAGGAAAATCACAGATACAAAACAGTATTACCTTTCTTCAATTATATTTCCATCAATTTTATTCTGTAAATCATTATAATTATTGTTACCAAAAAAAAAAAGACACTCCAGCTAGGGAATATGTACCAAGATGTTTGTGGAATGCTATCTGCTGAGCTGTTTCCCTGAGACTGTTACCTGAGGAGTCAATGAACACTCATGACAGCAATACTTTTCTTACATTGTTTGAGTGTGTTTAGTTTAACTCAGAGTGGCAGGCAGGCAAACAACAGCCAACAGTAATTTTGAATTAAGTTATGTTGTGCTGCAGGATGTGCACAGCRAGATTTCCTCTCTGTAAAGAAGAGATTCATTACTCACTGACTGGCTTCCTACTGAAGCTAGACATGCACTCAACATGTGCACCTGCYTTAATGATGTTCCTACAGACAGTATATTCCTCCAAATGGAAAATCAATCCATATTTACAGTTCAGCACTTACCAGACTCTAATCCACCATATTTGTAAGGATATTGCACACACAGACACAGTTGTAAACTAATCTGAGTCTTCCCAGCAGAACTCTCCCCGGCAAGCTCCGTGATTCCCACTAAAGGAATGCCACCTCTTAACAAGTTGTCTAGAACTGAACATCCCAGGCTCAGCTTCTGGTGTTGGGAGGTGAGATGATCTTTATCCTGGTAGAGCTGAAGTGCTGCAGGGTTTGAGATGGTTTTTTAATGATT